ATCTTGGTTTGATGCAATATTTCGCCAGATGTGGTCAGCATATAGATTCCAGTCGGGTCACGGAAGGGAGGAAACTCAATAGATAACAAACAATGCGAGAAGTGTCCAATAATAGGATTCGGAACAAAAAAGGAACGAAGAAAAAAAAAAACGAGCAAATCACAAAAGAGTAAGCGAGACTAAACGTCTCATCTGAGATGAAGCACTCTTTCTTATGACCAATGGCCAATTCTTTTCAGAGAAAATAATAATTATCATTAGGGACTAATATACATAATACATTACAGTATTTAGCAAATTTTAAATGCGATTTTTCGATCAAAATCCTAAATATATATTCCATTTTAAATAAAGGAATTTGAAGATAATTTTAATTGGATTACTTAAAATTATTCAATTTTACATTCGAATTTTAAAAATAAGTGGAAAATTTAACATTATTAACAGTAATAATTGTTTAAGGTAATTTTTAATAATGCGAAAAGATTAAATTGTTAACTGTACTTGTAACGGATATAAAGAAAAGCTAAAGCAGCTGTTAGAACATATCTTCGGAATTTAGTCATGCTTCTTGGAAGTAGCCTTTCTTATTTAATCTCATTCTCACCTAATTCACTCTCGAGCCCAATGGTATCTGTCTCCTGGCACAAGCTTAATACCTTCTCAGTACAAGAGCTGCACTCGCTCACTATTCTTCTTTTTCTTGCTAAAGGTGTCATTGAAAAACTACCCGGCACAAGAAGCTTTTTTTTATTCTCCTTTTAATTGTCCACTGGCAGTTTTCCAGATAGTTTCTTCTCTCCCCTATTCTCTTCCCTCTCGTGCTCGTTTTTAAAACCTTTGCTTTTTTCCTTCTTTTTTCTTGTAGAGCGTTCCGGTTTTGTACCTTTATTGGAGAATCGGGAGAAGAAGGCTTTCTTTTATCCATAGCTTCAGTGATTCTGTGTCTCTGAAGGATTATTGCTGCTACGAGATAAGGCAGAGAACTCCACAGGTCTTTTACTCACCTCTTTTCTGCTTTCCTTAAGGCAGCTTCTATTCTGCATGCGATTTCTTTCGTCTGATTACAAACATTTAATGTTTGCCTGCTAGCTGTAGATATGCTGTACGCTTGATAGTTCTAAACAGATCTACTTTACCTACCGAGTCCTTTAAATATTTTTCTATATTGGCAAAACCTCCTCGTAAAAATTGAAGGTTGAAACTTTTGCAAAACTCTAGAGATTCTGCATTTTATATTTTTCTTTTTTTCTGTTCTTCAACTTTGTAATTCAGCAAAATACGTTAAAAAGTAATGCATTTTATATATTAGAAATTCTATTTTTATTAAAATTACGAGTAAAAATGAATCATTATTCTATGTTTATTAAACGTTAATGCGATATTTAAGTAAGTTATTCGCGTGTATCCTAATCTTTTCGATTTATACAATTGTTATTTACAATAATAGTTCCTCGAAGTGCTGTAGATTGAATGATTCTGTTATAAAAATAGAAAAAGAAACAACTATACTTGTGGATAAACGAAAGAGGTGTAAGTAAAAGACTATATAAATTTCTTTAAAAAAAGAGGAAAAAAAATTGAAGTTGAGGGATGAACCTAAAATCTCCTTAGGCAGAAGGAAGTTTAGATATGTTTTTCTCACGAGACTAGGGAAAACACATAATTCCATCGCGTCAACAATTCTCGTTGTCCACATTCCCACGTTGGTTGTTCGATAAAACCATTCGAATCCCAAAAGTCGAATGTTGTATCTCAAATGGTCAACACAGGCTTGACTTCACTGGCAAGCAACAAATGATATTTATTTAACAATTTAAAGAAAAGGCATTTTTATTGTAATGGAGACTCTTGGGAGCAAATTATTCGGTAGGCGCCCTGCATATATAGGAGTTTAAATAGGATTTCATACCATTGTATAAATATTAAACGGTCTTTTGTGGCGAGTGTAATATAAAATTTTAATTCAAAGATAAAAGGATCTGTTATTTGTGAATATAGTCGCATATACGAGTGTAATGAAGCGTTATAAATATTTTCTTTTTCGAAATATTAACTTGTAATGTTTTCTATCCAAGCAAGAAAATTGAATATTGATGGATAGCCTAATAGTTAAGTACTTAGTCGATCGATATATCTGACAACATTGATAATTGTGAATGTTTGAAGTTCGATCAAGTCTTATCGATCTGTCGTGTCCACGACAAACTTTTAGACTTGAAGGCCAACCCTCTATTATAAGTCCAGAGAGTGTAATGACCCCAAATACCTCCCACTTTCATTACACATACTGCATTCGGATTCAACCACGCCTAATTTGTGGGTTGGATTGAGAATAACCACGCCCTAAACTATATTTCTATCGTCTCCAGGTAACCAATTAAATATCGTGAAACATTTATAAAACTACTTGAACCCCGCCAATTCTGAAAATCTATACCTTAACAGAAACGTGCTGCTGATTTATGATCCTTCCAAATCTAGGATACTGTTTCCCGGTGGAATTCCCAAAATCGCTCACTAGCCTCATTTTAAAGTCGTTTCCTCCGGTTCTTGCACTTCTGTAACATTCGCACCCTGCGAAAATCTATGTTTCGATTGGAAGTCTAGGCATTAGATTTCATCCAACTTCAAGTGTTTGCTGTCCATTGTTCTAAGGCTTTTGTGAAATTCCCTGGTGTGTTGTGTAAACTTTCTCCGACAGTGATTTTTCTTCCAATCTAAGTGGTCCACTCCAGGTAGATAAAACCTGCACGCCGGAGATACAGTCTATTGTATACTCTACCTGGACAATCTTCTTTCTTCTCGATCGCCATCTCGCTTTAAACGAAAGAGGGATTTATTTTCGTTGTGAGCTGTCCAGGAAGCTCGAAAGCCGAACTACGAAAGGAGAAAAAAACAACTAACTCTCATGATAGCCATCGAAATGCTTTCTTTGTAGACTTGTTTCGACTTCGTGACTGCTCAGCCGTGCAATATGGAAGTTTTCCTCTTTGTTCACTCCATTTTTCAAACTACTACACATGCCAGCCTAAAAACATATAATTTATATTATACACGCTCTTATTTTCCATCTTTATCGCATTCGATACCTTATAAAATTGTTTACTTTAGGAGATTTTGTACACAATCATTTCTTCGGTTTCTTTAATTGAATTTATAAATGTAGATTGAAAAATAATAAAAGTTTATTTAATGTAATCTATATTTATTTGACTATCAAACATTTGATGTGTTGCGGCATCTAAAGGAACAAGTGGCAAATCATGAAATTTCTTCAACTTTTATGATTTATCATCTAGTTTCTATGTAAATATCTTTCTATACTTCTATGCAAATCATGAAATTTCTTTAAATTTATGATTTATAAAGTTGAAGATAAATTATGAGGAAGAAATGTGAAAAATATTTCATGATTTGCATTTAATTTATAAAGAGTTGAAATTCCTTGATTTACCTCCAGTTTGTTTGTCTTTTATTAACTTTTTCTCAGCTTCTTACATCCTCATCTTTGTTAATTTATATTCTTCTTTACAAAATACAAATTTCTACTTTTTTCCATATATTTGCTATCTATAAAATTCATATATTTTCTTTCACGCTGATGCATTACTACTTTCCTATTCTCGTCTCGTCTAATAACTTTCACCAGTCTTTCTACATCTTATTTCCTTCCTTTCTACCTCATCCGAATGTAGAAATTTAACGTGTTTATTGGCTTTTCAATTTATATAAATCTACACAACTATAAATAGAATATATAATAAGTTAGAAGATAATTTAAATGCAAATGATAAGCTTACCATGTTACATACAATCTCTTAATAGTTTTAAATGATAATAATATATGACCGAGAGTGCTTTTCTTAATAACCTTATATTGACACATGTATTTTAATAAACTGAATTAATTTCTCAGAAACGATATTAATCATTTTAAAAATAATTTTATGTACTTTTCTTATTAGTTATTAAGGAGAAGACGAAAAGTAATTGTAGAAAAGACAGAATAATTTCGTAATTATTCTTTCAAGGAGGGAGAAATATTAGCAAAAATTTCTATGAAAATGTAAAATTTTAAAATTGAAATTTTTAAAAATTTCTCACTTTTTTCTCTTAATTCAATGAATAGTACACAAGAAAAAATATATAAAAAAGCACTAAGGCTCTAACTATTTGAGGAGCTGAGAGAAATCACTTTAATCACAACATGTAGTTCTTCCCAATTTAATCACATCTCACAATTCTGTTGAATTCTAGCTAAACATGTACTTCTCTTCCTTTTTATATTCGAGATTCTTTAATCAGATCCAACAATTCGTCTTCAAAAATCTTTAATCAGAGTTGAGAAATGCTGTTAATCAGATTTGCACAAATACCTCTTCAAATTCTTTCATTATATTATCGAAGTATGAAATTATTAAAGAGATTTAATAAAACAAATTAGACATATTCTGTTAATAATTATAAAATTTTCTATCATAAAACAAACACTTCATTATAAACACCCCTCCTGAAAAATAGGGAAATTGGGGGGGAGTATTTACTAAAATAAAGCTAAATATAAAATATTTATCGACATAATAATATTGAAGATGATCCTTTTCCCTTTACTTTCATTTAGAATATTCAAGTTTATAAACATCATCACGCATGAGAAGATCATATTCTTTTGACAATGTCGTCAACGCCTTCTATTTTAATGTGTAGAGTCGATATGGAATACGTTTTCAAAAATATTCCACCCTACCCAACCATTATCGCATTTTTTTTTATATTTTTTCCTTCTATCCTTTCCAGTAATGCAATGAAATTACTTAGCAAGGTTTTCTATGCCAGAAACAACCCTACCATTACGTATCATCAAGCGTAATGTTTTATTAAGTCGCTTAAAATTCAGTTTTCTATGAATTTACAAAATAAAAAAAAAATAGCTTAGGTCATTCTTTTTAATTTTAATAATCGAATATTTATATATTTGTATTTTTTTCCTTGTATAGATGGTTGCCAGTTTCCAGAGCATTGGATGGGTAACTGGTTTCAAAAAGGTGTTCAGGATCCAATCAGGATCATTAATGGAACTTTATCAAATAAAGGTGATTGTCGTGATTCCGATGGTGACAAATTTCTTATTGAAAGTTGGTAAGTTTGAAGTTTTAAAAATTGTTAATTACGTTTAAGAAAAGGGGACTCTTTAACGATATTAATTAATATTAAAGATTACATCTTAATTTGCATTAGTATCTAATTGTAAATGATGCTAGCAATAAATCCTAAAACGTTATTAACAAGAATCTTACTGTAGTTAAAAGTTAGAATAGCGGTCGTAGAGGGCAATTGCTTTAAACTAATTAAGAAATTATAATTAATTACACCATAATTACTATAAAATTAAAGAATTTTTCGTTTATTACGTAACAATTTAAAAATCTTAAATGTCTTTAAGTTTATAAAATTAATTAAAGTTAACTTAATTGCTATTACCATCAGCAAATTTTAATCATTTGATTAAAATGAATAAATCAAATTTAAATAATTATAAAGGAAAATAAAGAGATTATTAATTTTCTTATTTGAAAATTTTGTAAAGTTTCAATATTGTTAAATTAAGGTGTTAAAATATAATTATGTTATTTTAGAAGGCTGTTGAAGAGATTTTCTCTAATTCTGATCTTAATATAGAATTGTAACTTTTAATTCTATTAAAAGGTTTATAATACTTTTACATGGATATAGTATTTAATTAAATGCATGGGAGGCAAAATAAGTTGTTTCGTAGAGTAAAACGCCAAGCAAATGACAGTGAGTAATTCGTCATGTAATCTTAGCACAGCATGATGATAATTATGTTTAGTATATTAGATAATGAGCATACGAAATACTTTACATGCAAAAGGTATCTATCTCTCTCGCTCTCTCTGCTAAAGCTTAAATTAATTTTCACTTACATTTTGCTGTATCAGAATTGGATGTTATAAAGAAAGGCACATAAAAGTGCTGGAAAATCAAGTTTTTTCCTGTTGTTGAATAGCGAATTTAAAGTGAAAGAAGGGGAATAAACGTCTAGAATAAAACAAAACGAAGTTAAACACTCAACAAAGTTCATCTAACAAGTCGGAAACTGTCTCCACAGACCTCTTCCAGTAAGAAACTCGGTTCCACTTAAGCTAGAGACTCATATAAAAGTATATGACCAGACCGAAACAGTATTGACGGACAAAGAGGGACGGTTTTGGGTTATTGAAGAAAAGCGAACCTCGAAGGCCTACTAAAAACCTACCTAATTCCCATCCGAAAAATTTCGACAAGATACATTCATAGGAAAGAGAAGAGAGGAAAGTAGCTGTTCCTCCCCCGTTCACATTCAAGTGTGAAATCTTGTGCACAGACGGGACATCAAGTGATCTCTTGAAAACCCTTTCCAATAAAAAACATTAAATTCCTTTTTAGGAAATCAGGAAAACCTTTAAAACGGGCAGAAGTCATCTGTCTTGATTTTGTTGCTACGTGAGTTCTCTCTTCGGTTCGATTAGAAGAGGAACTTTTTGATTCCATTGGGTTTTACGTCTCTTTTCCAGGTAGAAGCAACTTTCCCTCTGGTCCTGGGTGGAGATGTATATTTATAGTAGGGAAAAAAAACATCACTCCGAGTTGATACTGCATTTTACATTTGGTTATAAATGGGTGTGAACACATATGTGCACCTGACGATTTTCGCAGCTTATAAAATAGAAAGAAGTAAGAAAAATTCATTAAAAGTAAATCAAGCAGACTCTTACAACTTCAATTTTTACGTAAGAAACAACCCATCATTTGTTAATTCATATACACACACACCTATAATGACCTAAATAAATTTCTACCATTAACCAGTAGAATTTAGATTTATGAAATCATTTAATTTTTAGATAATTATTTGAAAAATTCTATCTGCTTCTATAATTCATTTATACACAATATTTTTTTTTCTTTTTCCTTTCTAAAATTTGAGAAAAATCGGAGTTCATTAATTTAACAAGCGGAAAAAGTCTCATTACTCTGTTGAAAATTTTAATTGTAAGACAAAAATAATGAATTGAGATGATCTAAATCCTATTATATGTGTTAAATTTTCTTTCCAAAAGATAATTTAGATAATAGAAGAGAGAAGAGCAAAGAAAATAAATACTGTGTTTTGGATACAAATTAGAAATTTATAAAGTGGATTTACTTAGAAAAAATAAAATCAACCAAATAATGTTGTTTTATTGATAGAAAAAAATGATGTATTTGTATTATCTAAGGCCACGCCTGGCTGTCTGCGTGTTGCTTGATGTTGATAATGCTACATATACTTGATTGTATGTATACCTATAACGATCGACGATAGTAAAAAAGGCGTGTACTCGTGAAAATTTAATTTACACATAAGTAACGCCCATAGAATATTATCCTCTTCCTATGTATTTTTTTTTCCAAATAATCTATTTGCCATGTGTACCATATGTTCTTATCTATTTATCTTCATCACTAAAATGATAACTTATGTTTGTTGTTATCGCAGTTTTCTTTAATTGATATTAATTGTCTAAATTGCTCTATAATTACTATAAATCTAATATTAATCATTTAAATTTTTGATTTTATCAATTTTTTAGATTATTTTTTTTAAACTTTTAATTATAATCATTATAACAAATTCCCGTTTATACCTTTGAATCCGTTCTATTTGAATTCAATTAATCTATTATTTATCTTTAAATTACATATTATATTCATTTTCTTAAATTAAATATAAAAAATTTTTAATCCCATTCATGAACAATTCAACGTTTAGTCCCATTTAAATTCAAGTACATTTTAATTTTAAAGAATTTAATTCTTTATTTTATTTTCTATAAAATTAATAAATAAATAAAATTATTTTTTATTAATTATTTAAGCTTACAAATAATAATTTTATTGTGTATTTATATATATATTTTTTCCTTCTTCTTCTTTTCTTCTTTAAAATAAAATAAAATAATTTGTTAAATTAAATTTAAAAGAAAAATTTAAGAAATTTTTATAAAAAAGTAATTTTTTAAAATATAATTAAACTTTTCTAATTGTTAAAATTGTTGAAAGTTTTGCCTTTCATAACCATTTAATTTTTCATGAGATCCATTTTGAATTTTTGAAAAAAAAAAAATGTTTTTTAGTAAACAAACTTCAGAATTTAGATCAATATTTTATAAAAGGATAGCATATAAAATATATTAAATAAAAAATGTTTTATATATTTTAAAAGTTTAGAAATATAGAAATTTAAAATTTTATCCGTTTTTTTCATTATTTATAAACTAAAATATTCGCATTATAGTTAACTAAACTTTAAAGATATTTCACTTTCTCCATTATAGAATTTAACTTAAATAAATAAATATATATTTTAAAATGTTATATAAACAGATTTAAATCACTTTCGAATATATTTTTTAATTTTTAATTAAATGAATTTTATATATTTTTATTCAATTTTTTAACTTTTAAGTGTTTAACCTGATGAATTTTACTTAAAATATCTTTTATTTTATGCACTTTTTTACTCTTTAAACTTATAAAATATTATATAAAATGGCTTAAAATGTTTCTGTGATAGACTTAATATTATTAAATATGAAGAAAATACTTATAGGCTATATACTTTTATCCCATTTTTTTTTAACTAATGAATTTTAGTGAAAAGATCATATATTTTTACTATTATAACTTGTAAAAGAGTTAAAATGTTTATAAAATATTGTATTAGAGGCTTAACATTATTAAATACTAAGAGAATTGACAGGGTTAAAGCTTCATTCTACTTAAATCTGCTCTTATCTTTTAACCTTTACTAGAGAGGGGGAGAAGAAAAAGTACATTAAGATGAATTGCTGCACCTGTTCATACCTGAGGAAAATTTTATCGTTACAAGGTGTAAAATCGATGTAGCTTATGTAGCTAGTTATAAAACACTTAGAATGTTATCACTAATTAATAGAGAAGTGTATAAGATTATATAGATTTATATAAATGTTTCATTCACTTAAACCATTTTAAAATAAGGTTTTTAAACCAATTTAACGTATAGGTGTATAAAGTTAAACAAGTATATTAGTGGAAATAGATTAAAAAGATATTCTAATTTTAAAGTCGAAATATCGGGCAACGTGTCAGTCTTTTAATGGGATCCAACATTAGTAGATAAAGTTCCGTAATTACCGTCTCAGAGATGGTAATTTAGACATCAAGCGCTACCAGAGATAAAATAAGATGATGGGTCATTTGTTTCATACAATCTGCCTTCGTGTATAAGCACTTATAGTAGATTCTCTCTATCTGTTTCCAATAGGTGGATACTTTACTACTTCACTGTAGGCGTGAGTTAATGAGGCCTATCTATCCTTTTTCTGGTATTTCGGAGACCTCACATGTATATATATCTCCACCTTTGACTTCACTAACATAAAATTAGTGAGTAACTAACTACTGAGAAGCTGTATTTTTTAGGAGATTGAGCTAAGTGAATGTTATAGTTGAGGTATATGAATGGAATTTTTAAAATATTTTCCAATCTTTTATGTAAAATTAAGCAATATTTTATCACAAAGATAGAATATTTTTGTGATAAAAGATGATAAATATGCCGAAAATTTTACATTTTTTAAAATTCTTTTCGCTTCTTATAAATGTTTAGTCGATGATTTAAAAATGTAACGAGTGTTTATAGCTTAAGTTAAGAGAAAATATGAAGTCTGCATTACTGAAATTCCTTTAGCTGTAGAAAGTTAGTGTGTTAAAGTATGATTTAGGATTAAATTACTGACATTTCCAGTTTAGATAATCATGGAAACATAATTTACACTGCGACTCATTAATTTGTGACACGTGACACGAACTTATTGACGCCCCATTGTAGTAGAGTCGGTGTAAATAATTATAAGACGATAGTTGGGACGAGCCATGCATCCTCTTATTATGGGGCCAAGTCAGTAACAGGTCCAGTCAAAGTTGAAAGCTCTTCTACTCATTACAAGTCATTAGAATGGTTTGTTAGGATCGAATTTCAACAAACAACATGCTGTTAATTATAACGTTGCTTATTGATGTGTTTAGAAATGCCTGTTGCAACCAAGTTTCTT